TAGTGTCTAGTGAGTACGGGGGCTAGTGACCCATCGTAAAAATCTGAAATTGAAAACAAAAATGTTGTATAACCGAGTAGTACACAATTTTAGTTATTTTATTGAGTTGTGAAAAATCACAAATTTGTTTCTTCTTGAATGTGTTATACTCTCATCCATTCAGTCTTTCCGATATGCCCGTCGGATAGCGGAAGTTAACGTAAATGATCGATTACCTGAAAAGAAGCTACCATCCTAACTTTCCACCTTCGGGTCTTTTCCCTAGCCATAATTTTTTTCCCTCAAGGAGTTTTTCTCTGTTTTACATAATAATTGGTCTTGCATTCAGCTTATTGATTTTGAGAGCCTAGTCCTATGCCGTATTCTGATGCGATCTACTTTATGTAGCTTTCCCCATCTAACAGCTCCTTACTGAACAAAAACGGCTTTAATTGAGTCTATTCAAAGAACTAGCCAATATTTTTGCAGGGGTAAGCACAATGTTCCTAATTCCCCTAGTCCCCTTCTTAGACGCTTTCATGTGCATCAGGTGTTAAATTTTCTTTTCATAAGCTACAATGCTCATAATCGCGCATTCTGATGTCATTTATGCTTAAAAATTAAAAATTAGTTTATCGAAGTAAGAGTGAATTAAAGGTGTCATGAGGCGTTTGTGATTTCATGAACTATTTGACGCGGTCCTTTTCTTACGGCTTATGTCCGTTGGTGAAATCGCTACTTGGGTTTTCTTGGATTGAAAAGGGCGGGCTCTTTCTAAACGTGGCGTTGTTTATGGGACCTTAGTATTCAGAACAGAATCAGTCGATGGCAAACAACGAAAAGGCTTTTATGTGGTGAGTTACAGTGATGAACCTTGCCTCGAGATGGTCATATTTTTTGTACATACCTTCATGCAATTCAGTGTTGGTCTGAAAATTTTTGTTATGGATGGGGGAAGGGTGGGGGGGAGAGATCAGAACATGTACCTCGTGTTGTTTACGAGACATTAAAGTAATGAAAACTGTTAAACAGTCTTCTACAAATCAAAATAGTTGCAAATGCTTACGGGAGGCCGTAACTATATGATGATAAGAAGGGCTATATTTGGAAAGGTGCATGGTCGTGGAGTTAAGGAGATTTGACTAATCAACCAATTTCCCGCTAAACATAAGGGCGTGGCCAGTGGCCCCAAAATTGTGTTCGCTCGCACGGGCTGGCTCGACTTTTGGGATACGGTTATGGGGTTATAAACAATGAGTTCATCATCCATATAGCCTACTCGCCCCACGTGACTGCATTTCGCTTTTCAGAGACCCATCAGTTACTGTATGACCCTCTCCGATCAGATTTTATGTCCGTGGTACTGGTGATGAGGTCAGTCTACAAGCAGAGTCGTGAAAAACACCGCCACTTCAGCCTTTACGTTCAAAACATTCCTGGCTATCGGGAAAAAAAGAAGGAGCTTTTAAAAATACTAAATAAAATGTCATTTCAAATATCACTTTGTCACCGTTCGAAAATTATTGTGAATCAGACCGAATGAAAGTTCACTCAAAGAGGGGGGGGGGGGGGGGTTGGTAGTTCTAAACAGTTCCAGTTAGCTAGAAAATTAAAAGTTACGAAAAAATAGTGGGCGAACTGCAGAATACATGCAAGAATGAGAAAGAAAATAGGAAACAACTTCCTGTTCAAATTGGGGAAACGTTTAATAGCGTCAAGAAGACTGAACTTGACTGAGGTTGTTCATTTCAGTTCCGTTCCAGCGTGCAGTTCGTTGTCCTCCTAAAAAAATAGCTTCGTCTCCCACCGATCATTCCATGTCATATTTTGCGGACTTGTTATTCAGTAATGACGGTACGATCAGGTAATTTGACTTGATGAGTTCTTTAATTTCATTTCATGTACTAGTTTTATATCTTACGCTGGAAAGATCTGCCAAACAGTGTACATTAGCAAAGGTAGGTTCCTGTTTACACGTGTAATTATCGAATACCATACAATTTGCATAAAGCTACAGTGCACGGTTGGCTTTTTCTAGCCTTTTGATTAAAATTGACAACGTTTGCGTTATCTTTGCCTAAGAAAATATGTAATTTGTAGCTGTATACAGCGAAATACTACAGAGAAAATAGTATCTGTGCAGTACACGAGCGGCTCCCGAAGAGCGAACTTGAACTAGTACCGTGTGTAACAAAATTTATAATTTTCATTTTAGCGCATATTTCAAGCTCTTCGCAAGATCAGAATCAAAAGATCATCTGTTTACATTTCAAGGGAGGGTTTTTAAGCGATAGATAGGGTTTAAGAGGCACGATCAATTTTTAAAGAATTTTCTTTTCAAATATTCACCGAATTTTGTTTTGAAGTTTTAGCGGCCAAGTGGCTGAACCACTGCGCATTCATGCAATCATATTTCTGTTCCGTTGCATTTGCCCAATTATTTTATTCAACAATCTAACTTAGCTATAAACAAACTATGTTTAGTTAAAATGGCTTAGTCTAAATCGATGTGGCATGGGTG